GATACAAATGTTTCTTGGCGCCAGAAAATTTACATTCGATAGATGTGAAATTCATCAGTGAGAGTCACTAATTCCAAAATTAGCAAAATTGGTCTATCAATTGCATTGTCTTTCAATGAATGACCTCAGAGAGTCGAATCAACTAACGAACTCATCTAACTCTTCTTCTCCTCCAACCACGCAAAGATTGAGGGTTGAATCTTTTAGGGTTGATTTGATAAAAAAAGGACGATTTATTCACATACAAGTTTTAATACAATCTACATACATATTTATACATATCCTACGGTCGAAAGATGAGAAACATATGCATCTACGGATAACACGTCTGCGGTTTGTTTTATTCTCTTCGATGCAAGGTGAAAGTCTTAAATAACAATTCGCTAATATCCCATAAGATTGGCACGAACAGAAACGATATTTCGATAGTTGTTGCTTCGCAAATTGTACTCTCAAACACGTACGATTTCACAGATTGTGGCGAACATCCAATAAAATTGATATATACAGTACATCTAATCTCGCTATTTAAACGAAAAAAAAAAAGGAAAGTCATCAACGTACGATATATTCATATACATACATGTTTATATAAACAAGGACGTTGGATATCGTCCGAGGGTTGAAAGTTGGAGTTGTTAGCGGAAAAATAAACTTTCTAACGAATCGATAAACGTAACTCGATATTCCGTGAGTGCATAGTATAACAATTTCTATAGATTTCAACATACTTTAGGTACAACAATTATCTTAATATACATCTATCCGTTCGAAATTAAACAACGATATTTATTGACATTGATTCCCTACAAATATTAAAGAGCAATCCGCATGAAAATCTGTCACACGATGATCGTCCGAAACGATTATCCATATTTTAGCTCAACTATCGTGCGCTCACCTATTATTTACCAAAGCCGTGAAAAATAGACAACAAGAACATCGGAATTTCCCAACGATCATCCTGCCCTTTGCTTTCTATTGCTTCGTGAATTCATTCAAGATAACGAGGTAACATCTATCTAGGTTTAGAAATTTGTCACACGGTCCTTCTCGCGAATGATTCAACATTTTGAATAACTCTTACAGTTATTATGCGACGTTTAAAAAGAAACGAGTCGTTTCGTCGAAATATTTCTGCACACGTAACACTAACAAATCTGTGCGTTTCGAATAACAATGCAAGAGTCAGGTAGATATAGTCCTCCTATTCTTTTAAATAATAAGCAAGTTGGAAAGTGTGTCTCTATCTTACAAACTTAAACATCTATAAACACAACCGAGAAACTTTTGCTAATCTATAAAATCAATCAGACGGTTATTTTACATATCCATTTTATGGATTACGAAACATCAACGTTCTCTGAGGCTCGTTTTAAACAAGCCGTTGAAATACTAAAATCTTTGCCGATAAGAATTTCAGGTATGCTCTATTTGCAGCAACATACTTCGATACGTACCTTTGGCTACTTATGCGTGTAACGATATAAATGATCATGACACCATTCTATATTTGTAACACGAAGTTCTTCGCGATCGTTTTTTAAGTAACACGGTCCTCCATGGAAATTATATGAAATGAAATTGACTTGACAATTGAAAGACAGTTAATATTTGACGTAAAGTGTTGCAATTTGTTTTCACCGATATAACTCATCGCTTAAGATATTCTTTTCCTCGTTCGAAAACAACGAAATTAACGTTACTCTTAATATAACCGAGTTATCATTACACTACGTGGATAACTTTCTTCAAAATTAGGAACAAAACCGTACAAATGCTACGTGTTACTTTCTCAGTACTTCCCTGTGTCTTTAAATGCTTCTTAAGAACACACAAACTTACGCATTAAATATCATTCAGTAGGTAAGAGTATCAAATTGAGATTCCTGTGTGATTAGAAACAAAATCCTCCGAAAGTACGCTTATCTTATTGTTTATATAGATTTACGTTGGCACATTGTGTAAAAACGCGGATGCAGAATTCAAAAGGCCTAGCCGCTGTTTCTGCTTTCGTTGCTCCGTCATCTGATTGAAAAAAAAAAAAAAAAAAAGTGAAAAATATAAGTTCAATAACAACATGAAGTACAGTGAAGAGCATAACTGTACCAATGATAATGAGAAATTGATAATTTAAATTGATATAACTTTGTTCACATTTTAAAACGTGAAACTTCTATTCTGACAGTCTTTCAATGATGATTTTACAGTATAAAAATTCAAACTTGTGTAGAAACATTAGAAAAACTAGATCCATCATTATTTTGAAAATTGAAGTCACCGTCATTGGTACACAGTTATGTTCTTCAGTGTAATATCCAAATTAAATTAATATTTAAATAAAGATATAATATTCAAATAATATCCGAACAGTTATCAATACAAAAATTATGATATTATTCTCAAATGCAACTTACTTGATCGCGAAGCTCGGTAAGTTGCTGAGACAAACACTTCACTAACTGTTGCGTGGACTCTAACTGAGATTGCAAACTTCTTAATTCTACTTGTTCCCCCTCACCCTCGTCTGCTGCCAACGATTTGGCCCTTAATCTCGGGAACCAGTCAAGATTTCGGTCCTGTAAAAAGTACACAGAGCTTAAAAGTTTAAGCACGATTCAATTTTTTGAAGCTCTATGGACTATTACCTTCACCATCGCGTACACGTAAGACTCTGGCCCCGTGAATTCCGTTGGATCTTTCACTTTTACCAGAACAATGAAGTACAAGTAATGCCACATGTTATGCTCGTGCTTCACGTGCTCCTCGAACGAAACTGTTTTGTTATCGAAGGATGATCTGTTCAGCCCTGTGAATAAAGTATTATCGATGCAATGTGAAATAAATTGGATGTACAATACGACATTGTACAAATAAATTAAATAAATTAAATGCAATGTAGACATTTACCACAAATGAAGCAAGTGTTCTTCAAAATCAATTCCTTTTGCTGTTTTTCTGATCTGAGGTCGGCGAACGTATCAATGATGACACCAAAGATAAGGTTCAGAACGATAATTATCACGATGAAGAAGAACAGTAAATCGTATACAACTCTGGCAACGAACAGAGGTTCCTGGCAACGCGATTAACATCGACATTAACAATAGCAATTTTTTTTTTCTTTTTTTCCTGCTTTTATTGTACTTACAGTGCTAGATGGTGCCCGTAGAATATCCCCAATGCCGCCACCGTTTCTTAAACCTTGATTCAAAGTCGTAACAATGCACATAACCAGAGAATCGCATGCTCGTTCCTTCAGTTCTCCGCCAACGTTAATTACATCTGCTTCGCTGTCATTCTCATTCACTGTATAATAAAAAACATCATTGCAATTACATTCTTACAAAAAATTCTTATTTCATTCTTAATTCTTATTTCAACGTTAATTACTTCTCCGTCGCTGTATAATAAAATCTTTTTTCATTCACTGTGTAATAAAAATATTATTGCAATTACGGACAATTACATTCTTACAAAAAATTCTTATTTCATTCTTATTTTATACTAAAAGGGAAATACCTTCGCGAATATATCGGGATACCGTTTCCGTTGCGTCGCATTTTTCATTATCAGCAACGTTACAAGTGCCTGTTCCCCCGTCCGTGTATGATGCTATAATTAATGTACGTAAAAAGATCGATACTTCTCCTATTAAAAGCGCAATTATAAAGTGTAATATTAGAATACGTACACATGATATCCTCGTCAACTGTCACGAGGAAATCGTCTTTGAAGAACATGAAACCGATAATGGAGAACATGTACACTAGAATTAACGCCAATACAGCAGTAAGTATGATGGATCTTCCGTTCCTCGTGACAGATTTTATTACATTGAGCAACGTTTCTTCGCGATACACTACGTCGAAGAGCTGGAAAAATAGAGAATTTTATATCTCATTCTAACTTTATATCTCTTTTTAAACAGGATCTGTTTCAATAGATACGTACTAAAACCGAGTAGAAAAATGGGTGCATACAAATGCCGAGAACGCAAAATATAAGATACGACATATGATACAAAACTTCGACGTTCGTCACTATTTGCTCTAGGCTCTTTGTCAAAGTGCCCTGATTACCTATAATACTTATAAGATGTACAACTTTTAATACAACCTGGAAAAATACGTTTTAGATTACGAGGATAGATTTTTTGCTTTTTAAAATGTGCGATTCGTTTCAATTTACCGTAAGAAAACCAAGTAACCATAACGTCGGCTCTGGTCCTATTGAAAAGATCAATCGTAATATCGTTGAAGCTACTAACGTTCGTATGCCAGATTCTCGAGGTAAGGTAATGACAATAATAGTTGACGAAAGCATCACCGTCCAGATAAGAGCAGACAAGTGTGAACTTAGTTCTAGAGTAACCAAGATAAGAATTATTTAAATATTTTTTACTCGGTGAAAAACTGTCTCAGTTAAAGAAGATATATATGTGTGTACGCTTACTAGGCACAGAATCTATAAACGGATAGAAGAAAGCTACGATAAGGTTTATGAGTACTGCACAATTGAATAAGATATTGCTCCAAAGTGACATATAGCTGCTCATCCAAAATAGTACTGGTTGTCCTGAAAAGTTTGCAAAAGAACATTGATATAGATCATTACGAATCGAAATAACTATAATAGTTAGAATAACTTTAAAGTGTTGCACCTCTGAGTTTCTTCTGCCATTTCATCTCGTTAAACATGTCTTCAGTTCTTTCGAAGAAATCAGAAACCTTCGAGCCTTGATCGTCACGTTCTGTAGTGTGCAATACTTTAATCTTCGTGTCCAGTGTGATCAGCTCGCAAATTTCAGGGATTGGAAATACAATTTGTTCCAGCGTTCTATCGTGCCTGACAATCTAAAATAAGTCATAAGTTTTAAATAGATAATTATATAACATATATAACAGTAAATAATATATAAGTATAAACGTTGCACCTCGATTTGAGCTGTGTGGGTCGCATAATATTGCAACGCCTTATTAATTTTCGGATCTGCGTTATTCTGTTCGGATGGTTTCAACATCGATGCTAATTCTTTGTTATGCTGTGCCAATTGGTGACACAAAATATAAATGTTATGTCCGACCTAAAAGAACAATTACTTATATTATAATAAAAATACTTGTAAAATCAGTAAAACTAAAGTTGAAATTAAAATTCAAATTATAATATTTATATTATGTTTCTCATTAAATAAAAAAGTCATTACCTCTTTGGGTGACACTCCTTCTTCACCATCTGTGGACGAGTCATCCACATCACCGTCATCGTCCAATGATTCCTGATGGAATGCACGACACGCAACATCGACCAACTGCTTCGGATTCATATTATACATAATTCTTTCCGCATTTTCGCTATCACCTCTACTTTCCATTATGGCGAGCAACAATTTGCTAGCGTTATTTTTCAACTCCAAAACTAGGTCCATTCGAGTCTTTCCCAAAGGATTGATGTCGTTCAAAATCAAGGCTGTGATTATATCCAATCCGTTAGACTCGTGCGTCGCGATACAGTTCTGATTATCGTGACATGGTCCCTGGCAATACTCCGTCAACGTTTCCAAAGTCTGATTGATTAACGCAACGTTCTGCTCGTTTATATACAATCCTAGCAATCCTAATCCACCAGTCGTTGAACCACAAATGCAATCCAAAAACATGAGTGTTTCAGATACCAGATTAAAGTTCGTCTTGTTATTCTGATTGCGTAGGAAATTCTACAAAAGTGAAAAAGATATTTTCGATATGTTGTAAATTAAATTAGAAATGAAATCTAAGGGGAGGTTTTAAATCTGTTTTGTCGACAAAAATAATACTTTGAATTATATTTTACATATTTTATGTATCAATTTCTAATCTTTTATAAATGCGTACAAATGTCCACACAGTTTAATTGTGGAAACATTGAACTATCGATACTTCAAAACGTTAAAAACGAATCACCTGCAAGTCGCGATTGTGATTTTCACACAACAACTGAAGAAAACGTAAAATCGGTTGCATCACCAGAACTTTCGCGCTCAATTGTCCTTCGTCCCTTTCGTTACCAGTTCCACCAGTGCGATGCCTCTCCAGTTTCTCTGCTATCATATCTTCCAACGCGCTTCCCAGAGCCGCGTTGTTCGTTGCATCTTCACCGGAAGCAAGATTACGTACATTCGCGTACGCCTGCACAGTGGAAGATGCGGCTTGATTTAATTCATCTCGTAACTCATCTGTTATTACTATTCCGTTAGGTTTTCCTGTGTGGTGGAAAAGTCAATGTAATGTAAAATGACAATAATTGGAATCTCGTTCTATCATACCTGACGTACGCTTCTTTGATATCTTCTCTATTTCTTTATTCTGCTCCTTGTCCTCGTGAGCTTTCGCTGCTATGTCGGACGTGTTCACCGTGACCGTGGATTTTATTTCTTGCTGAGCGTCTTTCATTTTGTCGTAAAACACCTGTGCAGCAGATTGTAATTTTTATACTAAATCAATCTAATTTACGTGATATCGAAGTACGTGGTTTAAATAGTATATTTTGAATTAAATATGTTTAAACAGCATGTATCTCGTAATTAAATTAATTAATCTGTCGTGGATAACTTTTTAAAGGATTCGAGTCTCGATCTTTTCGAAAATTTTATGAAAATTAAAGATTAAGAATTGAAAAATTCCTAATACCTTGAAGAAAGATTGACTCAAGTCACCACCCATCAATTTATTGAACACGCTCTTCTGTATAATCGGATTTCCTCCTTCTAACAACGCGATACCAAGTTCTATAGCTTCGACGAATATACTCGGCGAGTGAACGCTTTTGATCACCAACTCCACCACCAAATCTGAGGCACCCTCGCGATCCAGATGACTTTGAATCTCGTGCAACGTTCGTCCTGCCCGACTCAACAATTTAGCTATGCAGAACGAAGTGCTCGATTAAAATTCCACCATTTTTACTTGCTACTTGCTTTGCTTTACAAAAATGTTTTGCTTTATACCCCCTGGTCCATGGGTAACTGGAGCAGTGTGTGACACTCCGATTTCCACGTTTTCCGGTTTCTGTATGAAAGACTTTCCGAAGTAACGAGCCAGAAGATTGTGTCTCAGTACATCTCCCTGGGGAAAAGGAAAGGGGAAACACGTTGGTGTTGATGAAATAAATTTGGATCGCTCGAGATGTACCAATACATCGTGCATAATAATTGAAAAAAGAAAAAAGAAAAAGAAAAAGAATTGAATACATTTTAAAGGGAGTACACCGGTGCAATGTTCGTTATACATCATGAAAATATCAATAATTGTGTATATATGATATATTGATTTCGTACTAAAAATAATTAAATCGATGTGTATATGTACATTAGTTTGTGCTTCAGAGTAAGAAAGAACACTTGTACAAATCTCTGTACCTTGATAAATTTCGAGAATGGAAACTTTGCGTGTAGTTTTACAATGAGTGTGTGTTTGGAGAGAAAAAAAAAAAAAGTGCAGGAAAAGACATCGTCGTAATATTTTGAAAAAAAAAAAAAAAATGCACAATATAGCAAAAACTCGTGTGACTTAGATCGGAAATTTCTCAGGATAGATACACACGAAGAATCAAACAGATATCAGACATATAAAATTTATATGTCGTACATTCAGTGATGCTCAGTATATCAAACATGAGGAGATAGCAAAATAGAATTAAATGCTTCACATACAGTATATGTAGGCGTACTATATGTATATACATATATATTTATTTGTAATTTCTCAACTCTATATTCTATATTCAAGATACAATCTGACTTTCTACGTTCTACATCGCTGCACTCATGCCATCAAATATGTGTGTTGCTTGTGATAAAAATAGTAAGAAATCTATAGACGTATTGGTACACTCTATCCGTGGTAAAAATAATATGTACATATACTGTACTTTCTTATTGTTTCTATTTCTAAACTCTATGCCCATACTGGAATGTACTTGGAAAGATATTTTACACTACGTAAGAAAGATCATGACTCTGAAGTTTCTCTCAGGAATTTTGATTCACGATAAGTTGAAATGCAAGTTCAACTTATTCGAAACAATAATTATCAATCCAATTACTTATTGTTCAAGTAAATCGACATAGTCACAATGTACAATATCCTCGTATCATCGTAAATCATAATTGTCTCTCGTACACGAGATCACATACCTACGCTATATGCGCTATATACGTTATAGTCATTGAGAAGAAAGAAAGAAAGAAATTAATGCTGGAATAAGAAGATGGAGTAGAAAATGAATCAAAGTGTATATATGTAATAAAGTTAATCAAGCACATGCATAGAAGGTTACCTACACAACGTACATTTGTATTTTGTACTTGAGCAAATTGAACTGAAGTATATATTGTACGTAGCTTGTATTAGCAAGCAGCTACTAAATAGAAATAGATATTGTGATTTTAATACATCAGTAGATCAGAGATCTCTTGTTCATCAGCGGGATGCCCTATGCGTGTATATAATGATTAATAAGAAAGATAAAAGAGAGAGAGAGAGAGAGAGAAAATAGAAGAAAGAATGTACTCAATATCAAGACTTGTATAAATATATGTATAATAAATAACGATAGAGTGATGGTGAGATAAAATCTCTCATTAAAATCAAATTCATATTGCCAATTTATATACGTTGTGCCCACAAATTACCGTTCTTATTTACTTTAATTTTTACCCGCTCTTGCTGAGTCATATGACGTGTCTCAGACTCAGACTCATCGACAGAGTCTGTTCCAACTTGTGACTCGGCCTTCTGCTCTGTTTCTTCTTCTTCCAAAGCACCCTCGCTCTTCGTTTGCAGCATGAAAACATCTTTACCTACATATCTATTCTACGAAACCTACTCACCCGAACACTTGTTTAATTTTAAATCTTTGCAACTTATTCGCGAAGCTTATCTCATTCGCATGGATTTTTTTTTTT